GTATCATTCAAAACTGTATGCCTTGATCAAAACAACCACTTATCCTGTTGTTAAATGTTATCGTAGCTGATAATAGTTGTGGAACAGCTTGGTCTGTTGATGATGACCATAAATCTTAGATTATTTCTTCAAAGATACAATCAAAGAAGTGGAATTGACTAACGTTGTGGCATTTGAGATGGTTTGGGACATCGCTAGAAGTGTGAAATATTTGTTGATTATTGACATTAGTATGCATGATTTCTGAGATTTGTAGCATGTGTTGGAACCTGTTTTTCCTCATTCCTTACTCTGTTCTCCAAGTGTTGTTAATTTGTCATGTAAATCTAGTGATGGGTTATTGGATTTCTGAAACATTGGCATCTCTTGATTGCTAATATTTATCTTTTTCAAAATTTAGGCCCCAAGAACAACAAGGGCAACTATGTTGCGTGGCTCTGGGCGCTCATTTGGAAGCCAAGGGCAAAGCAACCACTGGAAGACCATTATTGAGAGCTTGGATGACGTTCTTAAGACGTTGCAAGAAAACTATGTTAGTTATCTGGTGAAATGAAAAATGTTCTTATTGCTGTTAGAAACTTTGATTGACCTAGTTTTCTGCAGGTCCCTCCGGTGCTAATTCAGAAGATCTGTATGCAAATTTTCTCATTCATCAATGTACAACTTTTTAACAGGTAATTGATCAGTATGGTATATTATCAATTAATCTATGATGTACACTGGGGAGGTAACTTCTTCTTGTGCCAGTTTGCTCCTTCGTCGTGAGTGTTGCTCCTTCAGCAATGGGGAGTATGTGAAAGCTGGTCTGGCTGAGCTGGAGTTGTGGTGTGCAAAAGCAAAGCCAGAGGTAAAAATAAAACCTATCATCTGTGGATTATATTTGTTTGCTCTAAATCTGAACTTTTGCTGTTGTTGCAGTATGCTGGATCATCATGGGATGAACTTAAACACATTAGGCAAGCTGTTGGTTTCTTGGTATGTGGTTTCTGTTCCTATCTGATGCATCATTTGAGAAAATGATATTTCTAAAATTATATCAATATACTGTACATTTGATTACAGATTATAAATCTATTTTAACATACCGTTTTGTCAATTTCATGTGTAAGAATTATTTTAAAATGCTGCAGAAATATTATATTGGTATCAGAGTTGAATGCTGACAATAGTCTCGATTTCAATTGGGCATTTCTTAAAAACAGAAAAAAGATCTTCTTTTCCACTTATACTATGAAACCTCCCATATGTTTGACATGATGACTATTATAGGTGATGTTGAGGACTAGAACCAGTAATTATCTCCTTTAAGCTTGCAGCATATACCAGTGCAATTTTATCTATAGAAAAGAAACTGATGTGTCATAAGTTATTTTTTTATTTTATTTGTTATTTTATATCGATAAAAAGAGCATGCTCATGTAATTGGTATTGGAGAGCCATGGCGATATAACCCGGAGAGAAAAAGTCAATTATCCTAATTAATATGGCTTCTGTAATTCCTTGGTTATCTTTTCCCCTATACATGCTTTTAAGATAGCACGTGTTGTGCTGCTGGGAAGCAAAAGACTGATGGAAATATAGGTCGGATCATAAGTTGGACAAAGGCTTTCTATGTCGTGGAACCTTTCCCATGGATTTTCTTCAGCCTAAATAACATTACTAGCCATACTAATAAGTTCTTATGTTAGATTTATCTTGAGTCTTGATGTTTTAATTGTTACTTCTGTTATTGCTTTGTCAGTATTTAGATATAGTAGGTTGTTTCAGGCAATAACACAAGAATCTGCCTCGGATCTCTTAAGTTGAGCTAAACAAGCGAAATCCTGAATTCAACATAATTTAAATTTTCAGATACCGTACACCCATGTCTGAGTAGCTAATTCCTTTTTGTTCTGTCTCCTGGCCCTACAAAGGGGTCAATGACTATAACAAATCTGCCACATTTGCCCTTTTCCGTCAGGAATCCGACTTGCACTTTCAATTTATCATTTTGCTGCTGCAATTTTATAACGTTTTATGTGAAAAAGTAGCCCTATAATTTCACAAATGACTTTGCTAGTTGGTTGTGAGATCTATCAATTATCTTTCCCGTGAAGATGATATAAATGACTGAACTACCGGGCATGGTATAAATTCCAGGTTCTATACCTATGTCACCAAGGAGGTAGTGCTGAATTATTCTTAAGGACCGAGGCGGCTATTATTTGTTGGTTTACTCGTGTTTAAAGCAATGCCCATCACTAATTCTACTTCTGCTGTGATTTATGTCATATGCAGGTAATATTTCAGAAATCCAGGATTTCCTATGATGAGATAGTCAATGATCTCTGTCCGGTAAGTGCTATTGGTGTGTAAATGTGCTCGTGAATGTGGCATGGATGTTTGGATGGTTACTGCTGCGGTATGTTAATCCTGATTCTTCCCTTTCGCAGGCTCTCAGCGTGCAGCAGCTTTATAGAATTTGCACACAGTACTGGGATGACAAATACAATACAAAGAGTGTATCTTCAACTGTAAGTTCAAGTAGTAAATTGTACCTTTTGCTTGATGTAAAGAAGCTTCAGATGTTACCATGGTTAGCAGTACTGTAGCAGTGTAGCACTGCTACAGTGCTCGGCACGCCTGAATATATCGCTCGGTACACCTGGGTGTACCGAGCGGTATACCGTACCGTACCGAGCCCAGATCGAAACTCTGGTACGGTACGGTATTGCGAACCTTGGATGTTACAACCTACTCTATTGTGATTATTGAAGACTGCATCATGATATTTGTTTATCATGGAGAAAAAATCTATTACAAAATTATTGTTTTATGCAAGGTTCGTCGTACCGTACCGTACCGGCGTTTCGACCCGGGCTCGGTACCGGTACGGTACGGTATACCGCTCGGTACACCCAGGTGTACCGAGCACTGTAGCAGTGCTACAGTGCTCGGTACGGGCGGACCGGTACAGGACGGTCCGCGTACCGCTAGCCTATCGGACCGGTATGTACCGCCCGTACCGGACGGTACAGTCCGGTACGGCAAACCTTGTTTTATGAATGTTTCAAGTAGTGCACCAATTTAAGTGTTTAATTTGGGAATATTGCCCCTTTAATGCTTTTGTTATGTCTTTGAAGGTTCTTTCAAGCATGCGAATACTGATGACGGAGGATTCCAACAATGCAGAAAGCAGTTCATTCCTTCTAGATGATAGCTCCAGGTAAAAAGAAAAATTCTACTGGATAATCTACTTTTTGTTGTGGTAATATACTCGTGTTCATTCAACAAGTAGCTGGGAGTCTAAAGACTGTCGATTGTGTAGTATCTGAACATTCTTTGTCTCATTGATGCAGCATTCCCTTCTCAGTTGATGACTTATCTAGTTCTTTACAAGCAAAGGATTTCTCAGGCGTCAAATCAGCAGAAGAGCTTCTCGGGAACCCAGCCTTCCAATTTTTACAGGAATGAGGCATTTGGGACCTCGGTGAAATCTCGCACCATTCCCTCCATCAAGTGGTTGATATTTGTTATCATGACCCCTGCAACTCTATTCTTTATCAACATTTGTTTCGCCCCTCCCCGCCAGGTTGTAAAAAGTTTAAAGTTCATAGTTTGTAGACGTGTACAATTGTTCTAGTGAGTTAATAGGGATGGGATGAGTGTCACCCTCCCAAAAGGTATTCTTAGTCTCTGTCCATTTATAGGGAGGCAGCATTCTTTTATTCTAGTACATTTGTTGGTTCAGTTCACAGAATGCATAGGTAGAGGGGAATGTCATAATAATCCACCTTTATATATGTCATAGATGTAAAGCAACAAGTTACAGGAAAGAGATAATTACATGCAAGTCTTAGTTCTTGTAATCAGAACTCATAGGTGCTTTCTTCACCACACACTTATGTATTCTTTCGAGCAATATTTTTATTTTGGATGAGAATCTGTGTTTCAAGTGTTACTTTCAAGTATTCAGCCATGATTACACAACTTAATAATACCTTAAGAAGCATTGCCTTTTGCTTTCATATGTTTATTAGTTCGGTTGCTGTGAGTTCAAATATTTCTGCAAAAAATAGAGTAATCTATATATTTCAGGATCTATTGTGTCTAGAGATTAAGAGACTAGCAGTGTCTCTGACATTTATTCTTGTTCAGCAACATGCAGTAGCAAGTGAAGAGTCTTGTAATCTGTCATCTTACACTAGTTAGGGTTTAGCCTACCAAGCTTGCTTGCTGTATCAGTAACTCTAATGGCTGGGCCCTCAACATTAGCATGACACACAGAAATATGGAGTTTGTGTCATGAATGCAGCAATGCGTGTGTAAGAGGACAGATGTTTCAGGTTACATTTCTACTAAATATGCACACAACCATATCAGCCTTTGCTCATGAGATGTTTCAGCTTATATTTCTACTAAACTTAATGTCCATTACAGATGAAGAAAATATTCTTATATGGTGATCCATGTTTTTAGTGTGTGCATATTTGTTTTCCAATTAGGATTCACTTTAGCTGGCAAATCAAAATTGAAACCATCATCTCTTTTTTCAATATGAAATCTCATCCGATAAATTTTTACGCCTAAAATACGAAGGTTCTTCGATCGACTTTACGAATGATTTCTACGGCTTCAGAAATTCGTAAAAGATTTTACATCAAATAATGCAAGAGAATATTAGTTAACTTGATAAAAAAAGTATTATTGATAGCAAAGATTGTGGCATCTAATCACGTGTGTTATCACTTAACATTCTTCGTTAAGAGCAAAAAAGGGGCAATGAACGATAGCATGGGATTGGGTTCGTTCGGGACACGTCGCCGTCGCTGGGCCGCGGTTGGACCGAAACGCCTCGAACGCCTCGCAAGGCAAGACGAGCGAAGCCAGCAGCCGCTACTCCCCCTCTCCAAATGACCCAAAGCCCATCGCCCCAATGGCGACGTGACCGCATCGAGTGGGGGCATTTGCGCGAATACCTCGCGCTCGCTCCGAGAAAAGGAAATAAAACCGAGAAAGGGAGGCAGCACCGGGGCGTTTCCTTCTCCTCCCCCAAGCCATCCAATCTCTCCCCCTACCCTCCCCTTCCCTCTCTCGTCTTCGCTATCGGTTCCGCTCGACGGCGCTGATGGTGCGCGGTCTTCGATTCGCTGGTGCGATTTCTTGTTATTTGTTCTGATTAGTTGCTCTTTCCCCCTCTTAATGTACTGAATGGGGGAACCGATCGTACATTGAGCATCGATTTCGATCACGGTCCTTGTTTATCTACGAGTCTTGATGGTTTTCAGTGAAATTGTGTGGCAAAGTGGGCGGAAGTAGAAGCAGCATGGTTTCTTGTTGGGGATCAGCACCGTAGGCAGCTTAGATTTCATGTCCTTGGAAAAAAAAATGTTTTGCATCGTAATTTTTCTCGAATTTTGGAGGTTGGAACTTACGATATTTTGTTTTGTTGGATTCAGTGTGTTTCCTTTTTGTGATCAATTGTCTTCGATTTTGGTCTTCACCGTGGCTCCGCTTTTAATTCAACAAGGCTTCTCTTGAGGGTAGGTTGTAGCTATAGGTTAGGAGTGAACAGTGATCCTGAAGTGGTAATGGATTGACACATGCGTCATGCTTCTTGTGCCTTGCATATTAGGTTTTGTGCAATTATGTTGATACGGGAAATTTTCAGTCAAATTTCAGCTATGTTCTTGAAAATTTGACCTTTTTTTTTGGTGTCTATGCATGACTTTTAAGCCGTTGAGCATCCAGAGGTTCAACATGTTCTGATATCTTGTTCCTTCATGTGCTGTAGGTAACTATGATCTTACTGTTTGAAAGAGAGTGATTAATTCAGTAAAAATGATGAGCGGCAAGGTGCTCCTAACTTACAAGCGGAAGCGCTTTTCAGCCAATGCAAATCCTGCTAATGTTGTCAAAGCTGATTCGTCCGTCAAGACTGTGGGGGAGGTATCTTTTAATTGCTTACCCAAAAATATTGAGTTTTCTACATCCTGCAGAAGCTAATATTGATATGCTTGAGGAAAACCCACTATAGACAATATCTGTCTCTTTAATAGGATAAATTATGGTTTCTTGTCTTTTTTTTAATTGAGCGAGTAAAACCTATTTGAATAAATTACTCAATCTGTATGGAAACTGTTGTTTTCTTACTGGATAAATTGCTAATTTTGTATGGAAAAGGACATTTTGTTTCTCACTTTGCTTGTAGTATTAGAAATTGGCTACAAGTTGTGCGTATGTTTGACAACTTCTGGAACTGACCTATCGAGTTTAGCGTGTTGTTACCTTTTGTTGTACATATTTTAGCGTTATTTCTGTTTTTTTAAGTGACTCTGCGATCAGGCATGTGCAATTTACAGTATTAAAAATTAATGGATTGCAAGTGCATAGATATCTGATGTGCTGTTTTTTTTTTCTGTGTTAAGAGCAACAAGTTTACCAGTTGGATGAAAAAGGAATATGACTGTTCAAGATATTCTATTAAGCAAGAAACCACTATTGGTTGTAAGAGAGGCAATCAGAAAGAATTGTAAGTTAATTAGCACAATTAGAAAGTTGGAGTTAATACATGGAAGTAAAACAAAATGGGCAGATCGGTGCAAGAGGCTCTTGCCGATGAGTTTTGTCTTGTGGGAACCCTATCTGACAAATTTTGATGATGCCAGCTAGTGTAGCTGATAAAGACCTTGACTCTTGATAGCAAGGTCCAAGGATTGAATCCTGTCTTTCCCACTTAGATTTGCAATAAAAAAAGTTTTGTTTCTGGAGTGTTTGATGTGATGATTCCTAAAATTATTTGACGTAGTTCTCTCTCTAAATTTATTACTTTGGGAAAGTCTCTTGGCGTTCAATGTGTTGGATGAAATCCTTATGCTAGGGTTGGCATACCATCATAATTTATATAGTATTCAACAATGAATCTCTATCTTAACCCATCCATGCTGGTACATGTCTGTTAGGATACTTGAGTCTTATAATTTTGCGAAATGATGACTGGAACTTGATGAAATTCTTAAGGAATATCTCCATACATCTTAAAGATTTAGTTACATTAGTCTATTTTACTAGTGAATAAAAACGTACTTGGTATTGGATTACGTTACTGATTTAATATGATATCATTTTTTCATATTAATGCTTGTTACACAGTTATATTTTTTTGGACTTTTTTTAAGCAACACAGCCTATGTTTGGTTTAGAATTGAATTATTTGATTCATCTTTGATCTGATTGAGTCTATTGCTGATTGGATTTTTTTTTCTTTTGTTAATTTTCTTTATTGAATGACTTGTCGTCATATAGTTTGGCTATGGATCACTGATTATTATTTTCTTAGCACAATATCATTTGCTTTACATTCTTTTGTTGGTATGATGGATTAATGGTTGGTTCTAGCAAGCTTAGCTATACATTAGTGTTTTTAAAAGCGCTAGGTTCTAAGGACCCAAAACGCTGGAGGTCGAGCAAAGCAAGATGCTCTAGTATATTAAAATATAAAAAATATATAAATACAATGAATAAATATGATTATATAAAAAATATATTAAATTGAAAATATATAAATTTTCAAGTCACATTGTTTATCTTCTAATAACAAAAATGCTAAAAGATTCAAAATAATAAAGTTTTACATTAAATTCAATTATCATCATAGTCAATATCAACATTCTCAAACATATCATCACTTTCCTCTTCTTCTTGTCCATCTTCATAAAATAGGGTTCATCTTTCTCTTCCTCTTTTGTAGTCTTTTTTGCTTTTGTCATCTGCCTTGTATATGTCTGTAATTTTCCAACACTTGAAGCTCTTGTCATATCTCCCCATGTTAAGTTATTATCTTCAAATATAATGTCATCTTCGGCATCTTGCAAGTTCGCACCCATTTCTCCTACCAACTACTCATATGAATAATCAATTTCTTGTAAAGAAATTAGATCAATATCATTTCGCAAATCATAACGAGTCTTCAATGCTTGATTATACTTTTTATAAATCAGATCATGTAATCGTTGATGCTTTAATTGATTTTTTCTCTTTATGTGAATCTGTCATATCATATGAATTAAAAATATATTAATACATCTATTTAAAAAAGAATAGATTAATTAAAATAAAAATATTCTTATATACTTACATGTTTAAAGACATTCTAATTTCACTCACAACTCGTATCACTATAAGTCAAACTAAGAATTTTGATAGCCAATTGCTGTAAGTTCAGGATGAAATTTTCAAATAGACTCCACCATTTAGTTACAAAATTTAACTTTATTATTAACATATTATATATAAAATTAATTATATAAAGTTATAAATACTTGGGGATGTAGTTGTCTAAGATCGAATTGCCATGGGAATTATAAAAGATTATTAGCATTCTTATATAAAGATAATTCATGTATGATCTTATTTTGCACCTTAAGGCTGGGAGTTAATTTTGCAATGCACTTATATAACCCATTTACAACTTTTGCATCAAACTCAATGAAGATGTTCTTATAAAAGAATTCTAGGTTCAAATAATATCCTGTTATATGTAATGGATGCTGAAGTTGACAATCCTATCTTTCGTCAATGACTATAAATTTGTTCTTATACTTTTCATTTCTATTAAAAGATTTTTAAATTATATTTTTTGCTATATCCATAGCCTCATAAATATATTCCATTGCAGGTTTTTTTTCATTATCTATCAATTAAAGGATTTGAACAAAAAAACTCATTATCTTTAATGTATAAACTATAATATTCCAAAAGGATGACATTAAGATGATATTATCGATCCTCTTGCCTTTCGCTTCTTTTGTTCATTTGCTTGTCACCTATTTCTCCGAGATAAACATGTTTCTCAGGTTGTGCTTTTGACGATGCACACTATGTAATCCCAAGAAGGAAGCAGCAAATCGGGTGTCAATATATCTTACCAATTTCTTATTGTCAATGAATTCTTTCATCATATATATATATATATATATATATATATATATATATATATATAACAAC